TGTCACGGTGTGACGGGTTAGATTCTTTCTTGGATTTTTGTATTCGAAAAATCAACGACTTTCATAAAACATCTACAAGACATTGAGTAATGATTTTTCAAATAACAAATCATTGTGAAAGCAACTAATGAATACATTTTATACATCAGAATGAAAATATATTGTTAAGTGATTATTTGGTAATTAAAATTATGAGGATGATTTTTTATTTATAATTTTTAATCTTTAACAACAATACGATATTAAGCAAAACTTTATTGTTAAAATGTGTTCATATTTTGGCAGAGATATGGACTGTCCAATAAAATTATATTTCATAAATCGATGTAACTGGTAAATCAATATCAATTATTGACACATTTATTCACATTTTAAAAATGCCAAAACACATTTTTACTTGATAAAATAATTTTTGGATATCCGAAACTATAATTTAAAATTTGTCTTTTTGTAATAACAAAAAAATAAATATGTTTTGTTTTTCAATTAAAAAAGAAAAAAACAAAACCATCATTAAAAGTATATAAAAACACCATTTTTTCCTCTTAGCACAATCTTTTGACTTAGCCTCAAAAGATTTTGTAGAACAAAATTGTCGTTTTTCATTTTAACAGCCTCGAATAACAAAAAATAACCCAAAATGTTTTAAAACCCTTAATAACATTATTTTTGGCCCAATAACAATTCGCAGTAATATTTCACGTCGCAGTGTTTTTTCACTGTACTCTGACAATTTTATTAATAATTGTTTGAACAAAAATATAACATATTATCAATCAACAAAAAACGGGAAATTTGAAAATAAAAAATTATTGTGGTCAATAAGCAACAATAAATGAATTCTAAAAAAGATCTTTTATTCAAAGATAAACTATAATATATTTCAAATTATCAATAATCTATATTTTGATAAAAAATACAGTAAAAATAAAGACCTGCGCCATACCTGCACTGGCTTACGTGGCAATACCTTTTTTACAAAAACATGGACAAAATGAAATAAAATGATTTAATAAAAAAAAGTTGAAGGAAAAAAACTTGGGAAAATTGAAATTTCATCCAAAAATTTATGAAGAAAAGAACGTATTAGAAAACAAAAATCATTTAATAGTTTGCTCAAATAATATAAAGATTTGAATTTATACAATTTATAAAAATAATTACATCAAAGAATGGTCTTTCGTTAGTTTCATTTTATATAATGTTATAATAAAAAATAATGTGTAAATTTGAACGTTTTTCTATTTATATAAATCAAATAAAAAACGAATTTAATAAAAGACTTGCATGCATATTTTCGGGAAAA